GCTTTAAAATGTCTGTAATGCTGTAATTCACTCCCTTTTCTCATGGGTTAAGATAGTCTGGTTTGGGGAAATAAATTGAGTCATTTTAGACGTCATATATCGATAACTTGTATTTTGACTGAAAATTTAGAGATTTTATTTTCTATTTCCGCAAAAAACAGCTGTCAGTTGGGTTCTGTATGAAAATGGTAGTGATTACCTTTGCATCGGAAAGTGTCCTATGCATGGTTAATTTGTGTCCGATGTACGGAGAAATAAATATGCTAGTAAAACCCAGCTCTAAAAATAATTATACAAACAATGAAGTGAAATTTCTTTAAAATTTATGTAAAATTACCAATCTTTGTAAGTCCGACTCGATCCGTTGAAGTCGAATTTAAAAGAACGATAACTTTAAAAATTGGGTAACCATAAATTTATGGTTAATCCCCTTTGATGATGTAAAATATTATGTAACTTCAAGGCCATTCTCGGAGTATTTTTATCACAACATGATGAAAACAATCGGTATCATTTAAAAATTTAAATCTTCAGCTTCAAAATTAAAACAAATAAATACACAGAACTCTAAAGTTGAAAGACAGTTTATTGCCTAAAGTTGTCCGAAGCAAGGTATGTGTCCGATGCATGGTTAACTCACCCTATACATTTTGAAATAAGATAAAATTTAGGAGTGATTTGATTTTTAAAATTATATTATTATATTTTATATACACTGTAAGACAGATGTAAAATGAATAAATAAATAAAATCCATTTAGAAAGCTAGGGATCCTTACGACATTTGGTTTTAGTGAAGTTATGAATAATTAAACAAAAGTTCCGTTTTGGTTGACAGTAAGTTTTTATTACATTTTTACCCGTGATATACTGTAATTTATTTATTGAATACAAATGATATCCTGTCACAGTATGAAAGGATATCAAAATGATATCCTGTCACAGTGTGACGAATATCAGAAGTGCGGGAAAACTCGAGATTTCCCTTCCCATAACGAAGATTGTTGTAAAAAAAACTTCCTTGACATAAAATAAGATAGATGGAAATAAATAAACCATTCTGACTGCAAATAAAAGCTGTCAAAAATTACTAAAATATTTTGCTAAATCCATGTTTACAGTGTTTTCACCTCACTTAGCTATGACATCTCAACCGCTCAACTATGACGTCATGTAGCCTATCATTGTATTACAAAAAGGCGGAGGCAAAGGAAAATTCAAAGATTTTTGTTTAAAAATGTAATAAACAGAAAATTCAATGTTTTGTAGTTGAATATGGAATTTATTTCACTCGCAGGATTTTTTTATATTTTCACTCGTGCTTCGCACTCGTGAAAATATCAAAAATCCTGTCCCACTCGTGAAATAAATTCCATATTCAACTACAAAACATCGAATATCCTCTATTTATCACTTGCACCGTTGGTAACCGTGTTACACTTAAAATGACGCCATTTTCTCCCTAGTCATTATGTTATGACGTCATGAAATACGTATAAACCATATCCTGTTAATTTCATGAAAATTGGCCAAAATTTAAAGTCTTTTTCCAATATCTCATATGGAGCACAACCTCTGATCTAAAATTATCAATTACACAATGAAATATCAGTTTTAAAACTTCATGCAGCATGTTCTTATTATTTACATGTACTGAAGGTAGTCAAATACACATGTTTTCTGCAAATTTCAAGAACTTTGCATTTTTTCAGAAATACTCTTTTCAAATACTGGATGCAGAAGATGATAAATCTTTTTTTTTTAATCAAGGGTTATACATGTACTCAAATTTGAAATTGTATGATGAAGGGAATCAATTGTACCTGTGTGCTGCAAAATTCAAGAACATTGCATTCTCACAAAATAAGTTTAAAATACCCGAATTCTCTAAAGAAATTTTGTTATAGTAAGTGAGAACACCAGATCTCTATTTTAATAATATAAAATGGGACAGGTGGTTTCAGTCAATGAATTGGTTTCAGGACAGGGCTATTTAATTCTTTATTAAATATATCTCCTTGAAAAAAGAATGCAAGTTGTCCATTACATATTAAAGAAAACCAATTAAGTACTGTTCATTCCAGCAAATAACTATTTTTGAAAACAATCCATTGGGACGAGGCCTGTCGCTACATCAGCGACATTACAAAACACTTGTTTAAGTTCATTTGCGTAGAAGTGTGTATTATTTTGTTTAAACATCTACAAGCAATATATTTGCAGGAATTTAATTGCGTAAAGAAAAAAAATCAATCTTCTAACATTCCATTAGAATTGGACATTAAAGTATTGATTTCTTATTTCAATGTTTGTAAATTACATAACTATTTATTTTTCGTTAGACAGGTCTTTTTCAATAATGCAAAATAAACATCATTTTAATAATAAGTAAGCCATTCAAAATAAATGAATATCATTTACAAATCTTTTGTTCTAACAATTGCTTTTATTTACCATGTTAGTATAAATCAATTATTTATATAATTATTGACAGAAAATGCCATACACTGGATGTACAAATCTTATCTAACTTCAATTACGTGTTATTTGATATAAACTTTTATCTCCTAAATACTATGCTAAATAAAATTGTTACTCTATCTTTAATCTGTCTATATTAATCTAAAAAATACACACGTGATGGTAAAATCTTAAAATTAAGGGATTGTGGATTTATCAAATACAGATTGAATGTTGATTTTTATACATGTAGAATGTAGAGTGATAGATTAATCAAATAAAATACTCCTCAATTTGATTTACAGGCATATTAGGCCTCCCTTGTCCTTAGCGTCGGACGCTGAGACAGACGACGCCCAAGAGTTACATGCATAATTAGGTTTCCTTACTTCCTGACCTTTCGCTTGGTGAAATTTACATTCCGGTAGAACGATCATGAAATCAACACAGCTACACTGTAGCTTTCAAGGCGTTATCACAGAGTTAAAAAATAGGAATACAGATACGTGTAACTTATATATCTGTATGATTATATATCTGTATCCTGTTTCTTTGATTTAAATGCCCTAGACTGTGAATTAAATACAGAGAAATTGTTTGAATATTTGAATTTGCATTGATAAAATACGACCTCTTTGTTAAATTATTGCATTAATTTCAATTCACTCAAACACGCTAAGAACAAGGTACAGTTTCAATGCAAAGTATGCCATGTATTTTTCTTGAATTTGAAAGTGATATAAGAAATCAAAATTCATTATTTCTGAATCATAGAAATTCCATGCAGTAAGAATGCACAAAATTATTGGTTTTTCTCAGATGACTTCCTCAATGCTAATTGTGACGTCATTAACTTGTGCATTTTCCCGTATTTTCTTAAACATTTGCAAAAGTCATCAATTTTTAAGTAAATTTTCTTCCAGAAAACATACTCTGCCTCCGTTGCCCACAAAGATTTTGAGATATGTGATTTTTCAAAGTACTTTACATAATATATCAAAAACTTCAAATTGGCGACTGTGCCAGACACTATTTTCTAAAGGAAAATAAGCACAGAAAATGAGTCATTTTAAGGCTTTTCTGCATGAAACTTAGAAATGTACCAAATTAATGACGTCATATTCATAATTGGTCCTTTTTCATGCCATATTCTTAAATAATTAATCATATGCATCTACTCAACACTTGTTAAATCCAATTTCATTACTTTTTAAGAACATTGAATTTTAAGGCGCATTATAACCCAAACTGTACCTTCTTCTTTAATGAAAGTGTCAACTCAGAAACTTGATCTATCTGCAAACATCAATTAGAGCTTATTGAAATTGGATTGTTTTCGACAATAATCTACAGTAATTAAATTTTCGAGAATAAACATTATTCATTGTATGTTATTTATCATTTTGATGACATTCCCTATGAAATTCAAATAATATTTTCCAAAAATTATAGATCGTTGATCTGGTTAAATAAAAAAAAACTTCATTAAATATTGAAAAATTAAAGGAATATATTATCCTTCTGTTATTCCGGGAATATTTTGTATTGATCAATCGGTGTAATTGTTCCCTTTATAAGTTTAAATCTAATATTACCAATTTCATATATATTGCAAACTGCCACTCAACGTTTTAAAGGTAAAAGATGAAGCTGAAAACTGGCGTCCAGCAATTCTATTTAAAGGCATTTTTATTTTATCAATTTATGAAAATTTGTGGGCAATGCTTCGCAAGCAGTCTGGAAAAAAATCTTGAGAGATTTTCTTATTTTGATAACTTATTTCCATCAGATTCTATCGTCGTATTTTCTCAGTTCGAAGGAATAAGTTGCATTACTTGTGCTACGAAGTGTATTGAGGATAAATATCTTTGCACTGGAGTCATGTACAACGATTTTGCAAAATCTTGTAAGCTACTGAACACTTATTTAAATGAAACATCGCTCAATTATCAAGAGGACGGATGGGGGTACTGGATTGTTGGTTTGTATTCGCTGAATGTAGTATAAAAAATTTACTATAAATATATGTATAAAGAACAATGATGTTTTATCAATAAATTTCATAGGCAGTTTTAACTGATTAACTGATTAATTGTATATTGTTTAACGTTCCCTCAAGTAATTTTTCACTCATATGGAGACTCCATCAGTTGTCGGTGTAGAGCTACAAATTTTGTCCTATACTCGCACCTGAGGGCCATTGAGGGATCTTTTTCGTCCCAGCACCTACAGCGACACGGGACCTCAGTTTAGACAGTCTCGTTCGAAGGACCGGTCTCCACGTCCAACAGTTGGATTCGAACCCGAGACATAAGGATCATCTTTGCGACTCTAGAGCAGACGCTATAACTACTGAGCCACACGGGCGACTAGACAGTTTCGAAGAAGAATTCAAGCATAGTTTATTTTTTCTGTTTTTATGAAATTTATAATGTAGGTTACAATTGTATAGAAACAATTTCTTCTTTAAAAAGCTAAAAAAAATCCATCTTTCAACGCAAACCATAACTATCTAGTGCTTTGAAATCAGACTTTTTAATCTCTTTCAGGCTGTGATCCTGGGTGGACGTATTATTCAGGATATTGTTATAATTACTACAATCAAACGACGATGTCATGGTTTGATGCTGCGGTGAGTGATTATAAAACTTTACTTAGGGAATATAATAATGAGTTAGATTAACTAACAGTGAAACAATCATGTAACTTTTGTAGTGGATAATATTGATTACATTTGTGGTTTTAATGTTAAAATAATAATTGATATACTTATTATTCTTTTTAGGTTCAGTGTGAAAGACATAATGCATATTTAACGGATGTAAATTCCTTAGAAGAAAATACATGGATTTTTGAAAATCTATTCGGTTTGTATCTTTGTTTAGTTTATAGATATTATAATTTAATGTCACTGAAGGTTGGCTAAAAGGTCACTGAATGTTGGCTGAAAGGTAACGGAATGTTGGCTGAAAGGTCACTGAGTGTTGGCTGAAAGGTCATTGAATGTTGGCTGAATGGTCACGGAAAGGTCACTGAATGATGGCTGAATGGTTGCTTAAAGACAACTGAAGGGCAACTGAAAGGTTGAAGGAATGGCCACTGAAATGTACCTGCCATTCAGTGACTGAAACGTCACTAAAATGTTGCTGAAAGACATCTTTTAGATGACTGAAAGGTCTCACTTCTTCCAGTGAGATCTTATACACAGGCTGCATAGCCCAATCCGACGGTGCTAGATTTATAACAAAGTCATGCATAGGAATATCCTAATTTCATCAAATAATAGTAGTTTTCGACTTTTTGTAGTGCTTCTGAAATTTTACACACTATTGAAAAATTGTAAACATCAAAAATAAATTACTAGATTTAATGTATTCCAATAAAATATTTTGTTTTTGACGACGTTTCAACCATATTAAACCATAAGTGTATGATTAAACGTTGTCCCGTTCCGATGACCGACGTCGCTTTTTCTATCAATTTTTTAAACAAACTTTTGGTGGTTTTTCGCTTAATATTTTCATTGTCTACATAGTGAGCGATAGCAAATATATCAGAAAATGGTGATAACAGATTTATTTGTGATATATTTAATTTTGAATCAACTTTGACTCGTATTATGAAGAAAATAATCATTTCAATCCGATCACTTTATCTTAAAGTTTAGGACATTTTAACCTTGGTCTGTGCGCACTATTGGCAATCGTTAATGACCGATATTTTTACAAAAATATTAAGTTCAAACAAGAATAACCAAACTATTCTGACTTGTATTTTTCAAAACTTATATTTTGGGTATACAGTAAGCATTTGTTGAACCATTCATTGTAATAAAAACGCCATTATCCACGAACTTTTTGGACAACCCTCGTATAGGTATTCAGATAGCTTAGATTTTATTTCGCGTGTCAACAATTTTCTCCTTCTCAATAAAAACAGAGTCAGAGGAGTGCGGAGGATTTTCGAACTGTTATGTTTGGAGTGGAGGGCATAAGCTTGACAAAGATGGCAATTTTATGTGGAGGGGAAATAACTCGACTGTTGAATTGGTATCCACATGGGCTCCACATGAACCGAACAGTGGATTTGGCGATGAAAACTGCATTGCAATATTTCGCTCTACAGGGAAGTGGATCGATGCTCCTTGTTACTCTCTGCTATCATATATTTGTAAAAAGGCTTTATAAATGACAAAAATAACTGGATAATTGCGTTACTAATGTGTTTTATAAATCTGCAAGACAGACATTAATGTAATGCAAAGCCCGTTTAACGGATTATTTGTTGATCACAATATAAATAAATATCATTTTTCACTCCCTTTTTCGATTTTTGTTAATTGAGAAATATTACACATGTTATGCAAAAATGTTAAACGGATGTTAAAAATTCTGTGTATAATTCATAGTTAAATAAACAGTTTTAATAAAAATTATTTTAAATTTTTTCTTCGGTTTTCTTTATTGAGTAACTTTGAACATGTAACCTGATTCTTGGTCAATTTACCTTTGCAAAAAATACTATAGTATACAGTTATGGAATGGATACGAGGGAAATTGCAAATTTATGGTTCCCCGAGGGTGGAAACTATTTCCCAAGGCGGCGAAGCCGCCGAGGGAAATAGATTCCTGCCGAGGGGAACCATGAATATGCTATTTCCCGAGTTCCCATTCTATGACTGTTTTATTTTATCGAAACAATCATAGGCGATTAAATTTTTTTACCAGATATTCCGACATTGAAAAAAAAAAACACTGTAGAGGCATAATAACAAATACATGCGGTTTAACACATTGTATGATAAGTAATGCATCGTGTCCTTAAACAATTATATTATTTTTTAAAAGTATTTCCACTGACATTTCGAAGAATTATCGTTGTCTTCATTTTGCTAGAATTCAAGTATGATTTTGGCATGCATGTCGAAATGTTTTGACGTCATAGTTACATTGCTAAAAACATGACGTCACAGACTCGAGATTCTTTGAACGCTCCACCCACTGAACACTTTGATTGGTTAAAATTACTAATAAATATTCATGAGGGAGTAGTCCCAGGGAGTAGCTCTGATTTTCCAGGGAGTAGTCTTCAGTTGAGGGCAGTAGTGTCTTCTCGGGGAAATAGACAGTTTTATGGTATTAATTTTGTATAGAGTAATTACAGTAGAGGTATAATAATTAACTATAGTTCACTATAGTAGATCAAAGTGTCAAAGTTTTCACTATACATGTAGTGTCAAAGTGAATTTTAAAGTTATGTTTATTCCGTACAATCATGTACATGTATCCTTTTTAAGTATTTTCAAAAGACTCTTTTTTATCTAAATAAAATATATCATTGTTGATTTATATTTCTGGGGATATCTAGTTAAGGTCTTCCGTTTTCACGGAAGACCTTCTAGTGATTCTACTGTTTCTTATTATTATTATTCTTATTTTTTTCCCCAAAATTTTGTGCACGCGATTTCTCGAAAACTATTCAGTGGTTTTCAATGAAACTTTCAGGAATTATGCGTCATTATATGAAGTTGTGGTATGACAAGTAAAATTTGGAATACTCACCTTTGGTTCCAAGTTATTGACACTTTTCTGATTTTAAAATGCAATTTTGTCCCCCCTTTTTCTCGAAAATGGTTTAAGATATTAACTGGAGACTTGTTAAAGATTAAAGATGATGACTTTAAGATATGACGAATCACCTTTTCGTGTGTCGTCGGTACTTCCGGTTGCAGTCAGAAGCGAAAATAAAAAGTCCGTATTTTCTAACTTTTTTGTTTTTCAATATTTTTCATTTATTTTTGGAATGGTAATAGAGACCCTTCTTATAATGCTTACTGTATGACTTGTTTGAATATTGATAAATCCAAACTCTAGATATTAACAATTAACAATCTGAAGCGAGTCCAAAATGGCGGCTGTCTCTGTCAACTCCGACATTTCAATATAGGGGTTTACTGAGGCAGCCGAACGTTTGCTTGAACGAAAGTTACATAGGGACAAATGAAATGTAAATGAATACTTGGATTTTCACGTCATAGTTACGTTGCAATTCTGTGTCAAACTACGTTCTTCTTAAACGTGTTCTATAATCGGTTTTGGCTGGTTTTCAAAGTAGAAAAAGTGTTCCTTGCTTACGTACTATATGGAATTTGTAAAATGTGTTAAATATACTTTCTAATCGTCGAATTTTAAACTACATGAATGTTTTTTTTTTTTTTTCATTGAAGCTATCACACGTATTAAATAGAACATTTCAAAGAAACGCGCCAAGATTAACTCGTGGCGTTTGCGAGAAATTATGAATAGTAACTAGCCTTTTATAATTCTAAAAAAAAAAAGCATGTTATACAGAGGTATATACAAGATGATTAAGAGCAGAGGTCCCAATAACGTAATATTTAGCGCGTTCGATTTTCATGCTGGCGACTTGGATTCAATCCCCCTTGAGTGCAATAATTTTTTTTTACTTCTTCATCTTGATTTAACGTTTTTTTCTTAACGGAATCGGACGGAAGACCTCTCGTTGCTCGCAACGAGCTCATATCTAGTTTACAGTAATGATTGTAATAATTCAGTGTGGGAACATGCTTACTGACGTTCTTTCGATTGTATTGTTTAAGCTATTAATAACACCCTGTTTTGTTTACGGATTTTCCTGTTAATTGCATATCCCGACCATGACCAAAAAACAATAAAAAAAAAAAAAAAAACACGCGGTAGGTGTAACCGGTCGGCAGGAGATGTTCACTCCATGGCACCTGATCGAACCCACAACTGATGTTTCAGAGGTCCGTGTTTGCTCTGCTCATCTTTTGTATTGCTTACGCGTTATGGATTTTAAAGCTTGAATTCTTCTCGTTATCTCCCTCTTTCTCATTGAAAATATTCGACGTGAATGTTTTGTTTAAAGCTGTCAGGTCCTTGTATGGCAAGCATGATCTCATTTTTAAATACCCATATTTTTTTTTACGTGACTTATAAGAAGTTGCCTTTACGAACAATTTTATATTGAAAAGTTTTAAACTGAAATAAAAAAAACAATTACTCAAGGCTCACATAATATGAAAAACAAAAACACATCCTGAAGTAATCTCAAGTACCAGTGTTTTACTTTTAACATTACAGTGTCACAGTCTCTACGTATACACATTATAATGATTGTGTGACTAAAATATAAGTACTTTTTTTTTAGGTTTTCCATATACGTATGTTGTGTTTTGTTTTCCATCATAAGAAAAAAAAACTGCGATGTATATTAATTCAAAAGAAAATGCGCAGATGAATTTTATATTTGTATCAGTATTAGCTTTGCTGTCGATTTCCAGGGTAATTATATTGATAAAGGGGATATGAAACAGTGATTGCTCTAAAGTTCTAAGAAATATACAAACAAAGGAAATGTTTATAGCGGGACATAAAGCTGGCCCTCGAGGTGGGATAACGTGCGTAGAGGGAATCAATATCTGTTGATCACCATGAGACCTCTATACAGTATTCATAAAAAAGTTGGAAGATTTTGTATAAAAATTCAGTATAAAGATGAAGGCCCTTGAAATTCAGCTCTCTAGAGTAAAGCTGATATTTTTTAAAAATCTCATAATTCTCTCTCCCTTTGTTTTGAAATGAAGAGATGTATGTTCTCAGTAGTTTAAAATAAAAACTTGACGATATTATATTATGAAAAAATAAAGAGTATTTCGACAGAAAAGATACGGAAATAAGACATTTTTTTCTTTAATTTCCTAATGCGGTACAATTTCTATAACAAAAAAATAGATATTATGTAAGAGTAGATACATTTTAGGTTTTCGGGTTTGCTTTTATTCCCACATTGCAAAATTTTGTATTCTTTCAAATGATTAGGCTATTTATCTATATATAGAATCTTATTTTCTTCGTTATCATCTTATATGAATTGATTCGGTTATGTAAAATCACTCGTTGTTTACTGATCCTTTTATGCAGTTTCACAGTTTGTTTTAAATATGTCTTCGTAATACAGATTTAAGCACTTGTAAGGCGAATTTTCAGAAAACCGAAAGCATACGATAGAATCAATAAAATGACAACTGAATCAAGGTAACATTTCCAATGTGCGAAATCATACTTGAATCTGTACTGTTAAAACCGACAGTGGTTTACTTCATTAAATTCTGGTAATTTTGTCTTCATTGAAATAAAAAAGAAAGAAAAAATCCTTTAAAATAGAACATAATTAATTGATAATACAAATGCAGCCTTCGATTCCTGCAACAAGGACATATTTTAGATGTTTATCCATACCTTTGTAATTAAGCGGATATCCAGCATGATGCAAACTTAGCGACTTATATACAGTTTGAGTAAATTCATAAGGAAGATAGTTTTTAAGTAGTGAACCTTCAATTCAGGCCATGAGAATTTTTTTTCAATTGTAATATGGAGGCTGCGAAAAGACAAAACAAACTTGACGTATAAACAAACAATTTTTTTCTAGAGAAAAGGAGATACAATGGAAGAAAAGGGCAGCTCATGAAAGGGAAAATTCTCTTGGAATGCTATGGATGACAAAGAAAACGCAAAACATGCAAAATCATCTATAAATACGTCGTTTTCCTCATCTCCTTCATCAGATAATCGAATCAAATCCTCTGAAGACAGATTTCGAAATCTGATGAGTATAGTCTTCCAACAGATACATATTTATAAACTTGAACCTGCTTTATATGTGGACTTATACATACGTCTACTACAAATACTTTGTCTGCTCTTAAAAAAAAATAGAACATATAGATAAAAACTGGACAGAATAATTAATTTTGACGGACTTTATGCTTTGTTCGACATTATTTACAAAATCGGAAACCGGACTTTTACGAAAGTTTCCGGAGCTGTAAAGCTTTTGAAATGTGTTGTTTGCGTCACCAAATTGGTAAATTCTTAGCAGGGCTTGTCTTTTTTCCCTAACAAAAATAATAATTAAAAGTAAGCTATAATCCTCCTAATCGTTATTGTAAGATAGGCAAATGTAGTGAAATCATTTAACAAAATTTAACAATGATTCAGAGAACACTTAATTTAATCACCAAAATACATGTATTAAATGTCTGATTAAAGCGTATTATATTGAATATTTACATTTGATGTGTTATTTTACAAAGCTGGCTTTGGAATTGATCTGAATGCCTTTTCCTAGTATACTCAAGCGTAAAAATAAACACGAAAAAAATGGCACTAAAGTGTCTTCATAATGAGGCTAAAGAAACGTAAATTGAAATATATTGAGGATATTATGGTGAAATATTTTAATCTTCAGAAAGGTTTCGAACATACAAGTGTACTTATTCATGACGAAAGACAACTTGTGTCTCACCTATAACGGACTTTAAAAATACAAAAAAGCAAGAGTGTAACCAACATAAAGAGATGAAGAGATAGTCGTGAACCATCATTCGTGTTCCCCTTTGTCTGATTTTTCATGGTTTCCTGCAGCATTTCAAGATCGCAGGATTCAATCATGGAGTAAAATTGAAGGTTTTCTATGTTGTGCGATTGTAGGGCCTCCATTTTAAGATATTCCCTAACATCACCTTGCATGCAAGGGTGACGTCTGATTTCTTTGACGACATCTTTACACTCTTCTAAACACATTGATAAGGGTCGACAACTCTGGAAAACTCTACGAGAAATATTCGCCATATCTGGATGCCAGAAATTCAAGAAAGTTTTTCTATTGCAGCCATTGGTGACGTCATATACATGTAATTGTATTGTAGAGAGACTTTTCCAACTTGTGCAGTATAGAGATTGAGATTGAAATCGTAAGTTTGATAATGGGTGAATTGCAAGAAAACCGTAGCACATCTCATCGGAAGTCGCATCGCCTTTAAATGTAGTGACAGATTTCGATGAAGATTTATACACGCATTTTGTTCTGATTTCATCACCAGGCAAAACTTCTATTGATGTATCGTACCTATTGATATAAAACCAATATAATCAAACATTGTTTCCTAAAATATTAGGGCGAAAAAAACTCTATATGCTATACATGTATATTATTTTTATCATTTAATCCAAGCTCTCTGAATGGCTCAAACTTGATCACATGATTAAGTATATAACAGCATAAAGACTTGAGTTACTATTTATAGAATTTGAAAAACATATCAACTTGATGTTTCTTAAAATGGAGATAATTTTCTGTAAAACAAAAAAAATTACTGATTTTAGCTAATACAGTGTATGAACTAAATGTTTCTGAAAAAAATATACTTCATCTTATTTTTTAATTTTCTATAATTGATGAGACATAACAATGCCTTGAATAAGGATCTACTTTATACTTGAACATATTGTCAAAAATTGATACAAAACATAATCAAATAAATGTAGTACTTTGAACAAGAAAATCATCTAAATTACTCCATCGATTAAGGAAACACAATTACATAAAACTGCTTCTTTTACTCATAGTATTTAGTCTGTAAGTGTTAAAGAGAGGAAACTTGTGCCTTGTTCACATTATTTTCTAATTGTGTTTTGTCAACCTATGTAAAAAATAATATAACAAGTGTAGCCCTTTAATTCGGTCAATTCATAGATATATCTATGGATCAACCTCATCAAAGGGCTATATTTATATTATATATGACGATTTAAGGTATATGAGATAAAATACTGAAATAATTCATAGAAAGATAAATGTGTGCGAAAACTTTTCGTCTGCAAATAAAACTGTCGAATAATTAGCCTTAAGTGATGTAACAAAGTCTACTTACTGTAGAAACATATTATGAAAGTATATTCTGAAAAATTACACAGATACACACATACACATTATTTTTTGGTTTAAGGTAGTGAATGGTATGAAAACCAAAAGGTTTCAGGTAGGAAATACAGTTTATCTGCGAACTACACATACGGGTACTTAGGTGATGATTACCATGTTCATTTTTGGAAGCTGACAGCTTTTATGTGGCCAGATAATTTTAGGCAGTTTGTCAAATAAAGAATAATTTTAGTGGTCGCGAGATCAATTTACTTGGCTGCTGTGTGGCAACGCACTTTGAAAAAATTACGCACTTTGAAAAATTTTTTCAAAGTGCGTTAAATTTTGGGACCAGGTTAACGCACTTTGAAAAAATAATTTTTTTTTCAAAGTGCGTTAATATCGACCATATTAACGCACTTTGAAAAAAAAATTCTGCATGGCTTAGTCAATAATCCTACAAATTGAACCTGATTTGATACTTTTTGTCCCCCGCTTGAAAAGTGGGAGATATTAATTTGCGTCTATCTGTCAGTCCGTCCGTCTAGCTGTCCGTCCATCCGTCTTTCTGTAACGCTTTCGTTTCCACACGATATCTCGCCAACCCTTTGAACATTTGCAATGAAATTTAACATAACAGAATCCCTGTGGCCTTAGGAAGACCCCTTTTGAATTTGGGGTCAAAAGGTCAACATTCAATGTCGTAAAGAACTACGAACGATAGTTTTGTTCTTCCGCCTATCTCTTAGTCAATTCTCAAATGTTAACATATTGGAATGATTCTAAAAAAAATTATAGATATTTATATGAATTTTCATAAAACCTTACTTATTTGGGATACCAAAGAGATATAACTCTATAATTTTGGCAAAACTTGTGTTTTTAAACACCTGGAGTTTAACAGAGAGATTATCAGATATGGTATCAAATTAACATCAAAAAGCAGACAGGTACTATAGATTCCTTAATATAAGCGAGGAATTAATTTCTGCGTTATTTCGCGAGAAGTATCACTCGCGAAAAAAATATTTCTCGCTTTTATTTTTCTGGTGCTTAAATCTATGTAAAATCTGTTAATAAACCGTTCATTCGCGAATTATAATTCTAGCGATTTGACGTTTGAGAGCTAGTTTGCGATAAAAAAAACACTCGCGAAAAATAAGGAATATACAGCTAGTAATTAATATTCTGATTTTCCTGAAAATGAACATAAATAGACTTTGAGATTTAAAAGAACAAAATTTCGATTTACTACAGACTTCCTTGTACAGTTCTTATACTGTATTTAGAATGCTCTTTTTTTTCAAATATCATTGACACTTAAGGTTACGAGTTATAGAAATAGATATATCTGGGTGGGAATGATAAAGAGTTGAGCTGATAGACCTTAATTCAGCCAGTCTTTTCTTCGTTTTCCGTTTCTTGGTTTTCTTCAATCCATCAGTTTTTAGAAAAAAAAAACATCAAAGTAAGGGCACCGCAAAGAGGAGCATTCCTTCCCAAAAAAGATCCCGATACAAATTACGTCAATTCCACACAGAAAAAACTAACATACACATAAAGTAATAACACACATAATCGCATCACTATATCCCATCATACGTTGCAAGGGGATAATACTGTTGTCTACTTCTAAAATATAAGTCTAATTCCTTTTGTTTCATGAAATTTTTTTCAAAGTGCGTTAAATGTTTACATCGTGTAAAATTATGATGTACAGTTTTAACGCACTTTGAAAAAATTTTTCAAAGTGCGTTGATTTGGTCCCAAATTCAACGCACTTTGAAAAAATTTTTCAAAGTGCGTTAACCTGGTCCCAAAACTTAACGCACTTTGAAAAAATTTTTCAAAGTGCGTAATTTTTCAAAGTGCGTTGTAACACTGCTGCCAGATATAATATTTTTTCTACCTTGCACCTACCAGCTTCCCTAGAATTGTATTTCATTCCATATTTTTTAATTTTAGTTGAAACACGTCATTTTGTTAGATAAAAGATTTATTTTTTATTGTATGATATAAGTTGCCTACGTCACAATGAGTTACACTTGATTTTAAATTGAAAAATATGCATAATTTGAAGGCCATTTTTGGAGGAAAAAATGTTTCATTGTCTACCCTAACATTAAATATTTGGAATGAAGCTAATTTTAATTGATATAACATGATATGGTTCTATTAACGCTAATCATAATATGAAGCGGTTTACAGAATGTGAACTGTCACAAGATACTTTCTATCGTGCAACATAGGTTATAATAAGCTCTGTATCTAAAATATTTAAAAAAAAAATCATCTTACTCTGACATTCGGGGTCTATCGTAGCTATACTGGCGGTTGTTTGTCAAGGTATTTATCTTGACACCATTCCTATACTGCTCAATGTATTCTTCTCGGCCTGCAATTCAAATTATAAACAAAATAGTCGATATATCTGAATGTGCAATTGAAGGCCAAGGTGAGCATATTCTTTTTTAATCATCCAAAGGATAATAATCGAGGTCAATTAAAAGAAGCACAATTCACAATTCATGTCTAAATATATTCATTTTAATTATTTCTTTATCGCGAAATACTATTCAGGTATTCCATCACACTTCTTTTATTGAGTTGACTTTAAAAAAGTAGTCGATATATCTGAATGTGCAATTGAGAGCAAAGGTGAGCATATTCTTTTTTTTTAAATCAGATTCAAAGGAAAATAATCGAGGTCAATTAAATGGAGCACAATTCATGTAAAAATATTCATTTTAATTATTTGTTCATCGCAAAATACTATTCAGATATTTTATTGAGTTGACTTTTATGGTTTTTATTCATGAAGCCTTTAGAAATAGTAAAATTGACATTTTTTTTCTAGTTTTCTCCGATAACTGTCAATTCATAGTTATTTTTTTCAAATAGTATTCAACAAAGGTTTTTTCTTTCACAGAAAATTCAAACATGTAGCTGTTAACGTTCAAGTTCTTCAGATATTACCTAAGTAGTGCATATGGTTAAATGCTCTAGTGATATAGACAGGACCAGAGAGAAGGCGACTGGTGATGTCTGCGGAACATATGGCGTCCACTTCCACGCGATCTTTCCCGGGTGGAATTTCCAGATAATCCTGACCTACCACCAAAATGGCGGCGTCGTTTGGTCGTCTGTTAGGTGTGTAGTATAACGTCATACCGGAACTGTCATTGTAGTCAGAGCGCCGTTCGGGATTATTCCAATGAAACTAAATAAAACATACGCTTGACTTTTCAAGAATTTCAATTACCAACCCGCAAAGGAGAAAAATACAAATTGAAAAATCTTGATATGTTTAGAATTACAATTAAAATTGTAGAAAAGTAGTATTTTAATTAAGAAATACTTTGTCCTTTCATATAATTATGATTTAGGGGAAAATTCAAAGAGGACGTACACATTGCAAGTTACTTTAGGAAAATCAGTGTTTTCAGTATAAGTTTCTGTTTTGGGGTTTTAATCCCTTGATTTTAAAGTGAAGAAATATGTCTTTGAAACAAACAGTGTAAATAAATGTTTTATTACTGTATAAATTCAAATGCGAAAAAATAAGAAAGAACAAAAGATATCGTTTGGAAAATTAATCATGTATAATATTTGTGAAACATAATATGGAGATAACGAACAGTATTCAAAATCAAAAGTCCATAAAACAATACAAAAAGGAGCAGAGCAAACACGGACCACCAAAACATAAGAGATGGAATCAGGTGCCATGGAGGAGTGGGCATCCCCTGCCGACCGGTCACATCCGCCGTGTGCTTCTTGTCATGATCGATAACTAACGGAAAAATCCGTCGTCAATTCAGTGTATAAATAATGGACTAACAATAATTAAAAAACGTCAATCAGCATTTCACTCAATGATTAATGTATTTGCGGACAAGGTAATTGTATCGACAATAGAACTTTCGAAATGATGACTTTAAACGAGACTGTTTATAATCTTGTTTCATCAAATTATTTTTCAATAATTTACCTCGTTTTGGAAAGTTTTCAAACGTAGAAATTGCTCTTGCGCATCAAATCAACTAAGATATATAAACTCCGTATTCAGGTGATGAGGGTTCATGCATATTGCTGCATAAATAAGGGAAGTTGAAGATAGAAAAGTTATAATTATCACGTTTATCGTACCATTGTATCATTGACCCTCAAATCAGTTTGCAACTTCTTTTGACTTGCCTATCCTTACAGAGAAGATTTCATGCACACAGACACTGTGCGTTATGTTAATGACTGATTTGGCAGGCCACTAGCAACTAAATTAAAAATAGAGGACCCCCCCCCCCCAAAAAAAAAAAAGTAACCTAGAAAAATACCACAACCATAAGTGGGGAACCCCACATCCCTTGGGCAAGTGAAGTGCCTGATTGAAATTTGAAAGAATTATGGTCAAAAATTTAATTTTTATATGCAAACAAAGTGAGTATTTTCCCCTACCATAATCCTAGTTTTACATAAATCACATAATTTTAGTAAATAAATGACAAAATAATTATTAAATCATTTTACCTGCAAAGTTGCAAATTTAAATCCGTTTTGTCCAATACGGAATCCTACGTCCTTGTGGGCACATTCCCCGTTGGATCCAACAGTCCAGCCTCCGATAATGGCCAAACATGAACTTGGTGTCATTCCACAACGAACAGGAAAAGGCTTCCCAGGGTTGACTTTCCAAAAAAATAAGGGAATAGATTTATTCATGGTACATTTAACATGACATCACTTCTAATCTTTAATAGACTATCTCTCTTTCACTTTCTGTCCCGCATAAGATTTTCGAAAAGTAATTTGAAGCAAAAAAACTTTATCATTTCTTCACACATCTATACAGTTTTTTTTTTGTTCTTTAGTTTTTACGGTACGGCCTTATAAACCGAGATAACATGTGTCGGTTACTAGATCCCTCACTGCTCATGGCCCTGAGTGTCAAGTATAATGCCTAGGTCACATTTAAGCCGATGGTCGGGCGACTAAAGTTTTCTGGTTTTGTGGGCTGAAAGAACATGATCGGCCGACACAGTATCGGGTGATACAGAGCAGTCACATTATTTCCTAGGGACACCGATGACTTAGATAAATAACACAAAAATCTTTTTTTCTCTTTAGAAATCAGCAAAACTTTTTCATAGATCTATATTCAGATAGGTGACGTGAGTAATGTGTGAAAGGGAAAGTGGCAGAATCTTATAAAATGGTGATTAAATGTTGAAAATATGAGCAAAATTTTGTATGGAATTGCATAAAAACGACAAATGGTTTCCACTAAGCAGCAAAGAATACTTAAGATTTTTTTATGTCTTACAGATTGATTATTTATGGTATTTCCGTTCAAAAATATTTGTCAATCCATGCATCAACATTCTGTTGTGTATCCTAAATAGGTTAAATATTCACAAGTCAGCCAACCGTCGCCCGATCATCGAGCTCTGGGATACAGTTTGGTTTTAACCGTCTGCCGAAATTTAAAACACCCTTTTTGTCCAAAGACGGACGACCGACTTAATAAACTGACCACAGATGGTCGGACGATGATCGAAGGTTGGTCGACGGATAACTTCAATCGAAGAAATCGGCCACCGACGCAGATAAATTATATCTTGGACTGATCATGATGGACACAAAAAAATGGTCGGCCGAGAAAAAAAGAGGTCAAAATCAGCCAAGACAACGGGCGATGAACTGCCGACTGTCACCCGAAGAATCCCATTTTTGCTTCAAAATGTGACCTGGGTTTAAGGGTTGATTTTGCAAAAGAACTTTTGACAAGGACCGAAAACTTTCGTTGACTGTGAAATTTGGAAAAATAAGTAATTTTCTTTTTAATTGCTTTTAAAATCATTTAAATTTTAATTGCTTTTAAAATCATAACCTACTACGAATGGTTAAAATTAAATTTCCGCTTTAGTCATAAGTTCTTTTGAAAACGGATCCTTGGTCTTTATTTTCTACTTTTCAACAGAAATTAATGATGTCCCGTTATAACGAAAAATTCACGCACGGACGTTAAAAAACAAAGAAACCCCATCTTACCAGATCCGTTGCATCCAAAGAGTAGAATATGATGCATAACGTATTCGTTATCTATATACGGCGTTGTTGCAATCAGGTGATAGTCGCCATCATTTGGAAGTTCAAAGGTCTTACAGAAATAGTTGGTTTCTTTGCTGGGTACTCTGGTTTCGTTATACCTCAATGTTATGTTCTTAACACCTAGTGAGAATTGGAAATATTTATAATTACATCAAATACATTTATTTCAAACGCACACTTATTTGTAATACATTGTTACAGTTTAATTCTAAAGATATATTTTCCTGTGCCTTCAGTTGCAAAATGGATGGAGTATTTGTATATGTACCAGGTTGGTTGATTGCGTCACATTTGAAACTTTCTAACTCGCACGTCACCCACGTGTTCTTTGGCCCACAGAAGCTGCCGTTGAATGGCTTGCAAACACCTTAATGTACGTGTAACAATTTCAATGCAATAAAGTCTTTTAGAAATATAACGATATCTGATACGAGGACTTCGTGAAAGATTATGTATATGTACTTATCAAAATATTTAAAAGACCAACAATGATATACCTCTTATCTTAAACAAGAATTTTCCCCAAATTTTCTTTGTTAAAAATTTTATTAATACACTGATATCGTCCTAAGTATCAATAATTTCTTAAATGTCCTTGTTCCTTTTATATTCGCCGAAATGTATACGCCTTTCAAAGAATGAAAAAAATTACTTAAAAAAACATTTCTTAAAGATATGAAAAATAAATGTTTATAGCAAAATGAGAGCAATTATTTTGGAATATTGCCAGTAATTTAAAGAGCTTCATACCTGGATGAGAAATTGCATTTTTATCCGGAATAGCGTTTTCCCGCCACACGCAGTTCGGGTCGCCAAGTTCTTCTCCATTGGTTTTACCGTCCCCGTCCGAGTCCTTCCGACACAACTCCTGCGTCCATTTCTTAAATTTATAAATATTTATGAAAAAAATACATATGTCCCATGTATATTTTATGCATTATTTAGAAAAAACAAACAAACAAAATTCCAAAACACCCTCTACTCATGTTATAAATGATTATGATTAAAATAATAATAGTAATTGGATAAGTAAAGGTTTATTTCAAATAATTTTATTTGCTTTTAATTCAAGCTTTTATATAAATAATCAGTTATGAATTTTTCTTAAGGATAAAAATTTTTTCAAAGATTTACTTTTTGAAAGTAAATCTAAAATTAAATAAAGGACTATTTTCTTAAATAAATTGCTTTTTTCTAACGTTTTTGCAAGTTACATGCACTTAAATAGGAACAATTTAATTTTTTTGTACAATGCCACTGAAGTTTTTTTTTTCAAATGTCGAGTTAACATGTACTACTATAACCAAGTCCTATTTTTCTTTCTTTTGATGCATCATTAATATTTTATAGGAAGGTTTTTCACACGCTGTTTTTATTTTTGTTTGAAATCCATCATTTCATTCTTTTCTTTATCATGATGAATTTTTGTGTACGATAACAGTTTATGAACTCTTTTTTTTCTTTTAATTTCAAATCGTTTTGCAACTGGTAAACCTTCATATGGAAATAATGAGGGCTTTCCCCTACCCGTTTCCTATTGAGCTCATTCCATGTTTTAATCTGTTTTGGCTCCAATTCCTTTTCTTAGTCAGTGCAGTTTAACTGCTTATTTTTGTGCACCTTTAGAGTGCATGGCTTTGTTAAAATTCTAATTTTGTGTCACCCGGATTTTATGTTTGAAAACAAAGTTGAGTAAATATATGATTTATATAATTATTTACAGTTGGAGAGATGATAAACACAAACAAAATTACCAAGACTGTATTCAAAATCGTGCATATATTGACATTGTTCAAAATGACTGGAAATTAATCTTATTACTCTGATCTGAGGTTTATGACTTCAGAGGAAGAAATGCTTTTCAATATCAAAAACTTATTTGTATAGTTTCATCTATTGAACTACAAAGACCAAAAAACAACTGTTGTCTAGCAATGGCTTATCTTTTTAAATTAAAATTAGTCGTCTATGCCTCTTTATCTTGTTGACATTCACACGATGTTACCGCACCGGTCAGTAAACTGAATGGGTACAGAATGGTTACTAAATGGTCTGGAACGGCGGAGCTCTGCTATACAGTTAACTTACGGTCAATGTTTTGGTTAACTTAATAACATTAATTTCATGATTTATTTTATAATGATAAAATTTCAAATAATTTTATCAAGTGGTTGTTTTCTAATCAAAAAAACCTTTTTTTTAAATCAATTTTTGTATAATATGTACAATTGTACAATATGGAAGAGGGAAAAAACGACAGAATAGGGTTAAAAGCACAGAAGAATAAATAAATAAAAGTAGAGGAGCGGTTCAATATTTGCAAATATTAATACAAAATTGAAGAAAAAACTTGAAAAAAAATCACGATTGCTACATACTTGAACAAGAATATACACAGGTCAAAAATTTAAAGCAATAGCAATTCATTTACAAACTTCACAAAAATCACAAAGTTTAAAATCAACTAAATTAAATTACGGGAATGTAGCAGGTTGTTCAGGTTCAAAATCTGTGAAAATTTTAAATTTTCAACGTAAATAAAATATATAATATTATTAGTTACACAGTCAGTTATATATTTTACAGGGTGTGAAATGGAAATCAATTGCTACGCTTCCTGTGTTATATTTTTTTTATCTGAAGACTTTATATTAATTAAAAAAATATTTGTGCATACAAATGTATTATGAAAATATGTAATTTTAATTTAACAAAAATAAAATATCGTTATCGGTAACAAGAAATTTAAATGAAATATGAAGTTCAAAACAGATGAAATACATTTTTAAGTAAAAAAAAACTAACTGTACATGTAGTTTGTGATTCTGATTTTAAGCAATAATACTGTTATACACATTGAAATTTTTACAGATTTTCCTGATCAGCCTTTATCCAATCAGCAATCTACAAATTTGTCTGAAGCGGAATAAGCTTGTATATTTACTCCAAGTCTCGTTTTATATTTTTTTAAAGCTTGAACTGTCTTTTCTGTTACTACACCCTGATGTTTTATTAAATACCAATTGAAATATAAAACCAAATGTGATTTTATTGATACATTTAAAAGTATACACGCTATAACTTGCACCAGTTAAAATACGATTGGAAATTGATATAATTTGTTTATCAATAAAATTTCAAATATATGTAAATTACACCATTAAAAAAACGCGTTACAAAGTTATCAAATTATAATTTTTTATTATCCTGCAAGGAAAGAAAAATAGCTATTTTTAAAAAATCCATCACGTGACGGTCGCACTTTTAACCATTGAAAAAGACGTGGCGTAAAGAAAACAATATAGGCCGTTTGAGATACTACTCACTTTTGACGTGGATGGCAAAAAAATTTATCTTTTAATGTATTCAGTATCAACCATCTTCTCTGTTATGACGCATATTAACCTTACATTAATAATTTTGTCAAAATGCAACATACCTTTTTCTCTGATTTGGTGGACATGTGTTTCTATATATAGGCCTACTGTTTACGCACTTCCTTCATCAATATTCATGAAAAGACTGAGTTCTAGATATTGTTTAATTGTTTTGTTATTACAACGACATCTGTAGTACAATTTTGTTGAAAGTATTATTTTTCATTACACTTCATGTGTTTTAAATCATTAATCATTTTGTTTCACACAAAATTCGGCGTTCATATAGCGTATATGACTTTAATGTTATTTTACAAATGATATACGTTATCTAGTCACAGGGAGTCAGTGAAAATGAATTATGAATTTGAAAAGAGATAAAATTATGTTCAATTATTAAAAAACAAAATACAACTTGAATTTGGAGCCATCACAAACCTTGAGAAATAAGGAAAGTAATAAAAATCATGGGAACATGTTAACATTAGGCAATGAGAATTAAGAGTTTACTTTTACAAATTAGGGAATAATTCACTTCAAAGTGCCGAGCGCATGGCGAAGGAACAGTTGCTACCCATTTTATCGACTGGGTCAGTCGCGGCCGAGATACGAACTCAACCGTTAAATCAGCATTTAACGGTCGCAAATATCAAATTAGAAGATAGTTATTCCCATTCTAATGCAATCCATGTATTTTGTTTGTTGTTTACGTCTTATTTTGTTGAGTTTTATTACATGAAATACGTCATGGGGCATTGTTTTTTTTGCGTTGACTATTAAAAACGTCACAATGAAAAAGCTTTCACGCTCGTTAATGCTCTTTTACTGCTATAACGTGACATCCCTTTTGATAGGAAATTATCAATTGAACGTTAAACATAACACAATACATTAATCAATTTTGTAATTTCAATACTTCCTTCATTTAAGTAATATTTTAATCACGTTGTCTTTTTTCAAATTCCATGGCCTTACATTTAGAAAAGATTAATAAATAAGTTTCATGAAACAAATGTAAAAAATAAACCTTGTTTAAAAAAAAGTTTTCTCAATTTTAAGAGAATTTTTATCAAATACATTTTTAAGTCAAAAACTAACTGTAGTTTGTGATTCTGATTTTAAGCAATAACAATGTTATACACATTGAAATTTTTACAGAGTTTCTTTTAGACCGAAACCAATTCAATAAGAGGATAGAAAAATATATCAGAAGAGCAAAAGAAGTAATAAATTATTCGAAAATGTTTTTACCTTCATTTACTCTTTCTTTATATCTATATTTTTAAACTATTTTTATCTGTTCTGTGATTGACAGTTAAGCAAACAATTTGTATAATTTAGCTGACAACTTTTTTTCTCTCTTGACATATATGACGCTGGATTACAGTCAATACACACAGAAAATAATTGATTATTTACAGATATCTATCTTGGAAAAAAATTACCTTCCCTGCTGCATCAAAATCCTTGCCGAAGGAATATATTTTAAAGACAGCCTTAAAGCTTTTTTTCTGTGACCTGTTACTCCCTTCCAGATGATAATTGGTTTACAGGGGTGTGGCAACGTTTCTCATCAGCCGCGATTTTTGATAAATATTTGAAACAACTTAGTGAAGCACGTTGTATGTAAAGAGCAAGCATGCATGTAGGCATAAATAGATTCTGAAAAAGAAAAGGTTGATTTCAAGAACCGAAGCCAAATGTTTTAATTTGAACACTTTAATCGAAAAATGAAATTATTGAAAAAACATTATAAATACAACGTTAATAAACACAATTATTAATCAATTTTGAAAATTTTCCATAATTTTAAAAGAATATTTGCGTATAAAATCCTGGCCCAACATAAATTAGAATATTCATCAAATGATATGTAAAAATAAACTTACTTAAAACAGTAAGATTTTTAAGAGAAAAATCATTGAAAAATGTTGAATTTTAGTAACCTTAAAATAAAATAGTTTTTGTAAATGCCAATTCAATAAGAGGATAGAAAAATAAATCAGAAGAGCAAAAGCAGTAATAAAATATTCGAAAATGTTTTTTTGTAATAGCATTTCACACGTAAATATGTAAAAAAAATCTTATTTCATCTAAAAGTAATTGAAACTTTAAATTTTTGGACGGGTTTGATTGACACAGCATCCTCGACATTCACATATTTTAATTTTACTCTTAATACTTAGAAAATATGACAATCTTTCTGTGTACAGGAAAACTCGTCCAGTACGAACTCGGATATAGCGAATTCACGGATATAACGAAGTTATTTTGAATTGGAAATATTTGAAACTATATAATATGTTAACAAATTCTTTATAAATTCTGTAAAAGAAAAAAGTTGATTTGAAACTTTAAATTTTTGGACGGATATAAACATGTAAGCATTCATACATTCACCGATTTTAGTTATAACCAAGTTTTACTGTATTTTGAAACAAATATATTAAAACTATAATCCAGAAAATTCAGAGTATAAAGGGTTGGAAAGCAAAACACACACTCAGTATATTGTCGGTCTGTGTAGTTGTGGTTAGCAGACTTTAACAATTGAACGCACCAGGTAAATCTAAACAGTAAAAATAACAAAGATCGTGCCGTGTTAGCAAAAATTGTGTACTTTTGACAAGGTGTGTTCAATTTGCTAAACTCTGTACCTAACATTAAGCGCGGAATGACAATACATGTGAAATGGTTCTTATTTTGAACATTTTTACTCTAAATTTTTATTTTTCTGAATTAAAGTTTTAAAATTTTTCATTTTTCTCTAACATCACCCACCTCCTCCCTCACCCCCCCCCCCTCCACGAAATAGGATTTTCGAGTTTGGGCAAATTAACTTTTTTTTTTTTGCTTGAACAATTTCATTATTTTTATTTGTCAAGCCAAAAACAATCATATGTCACCGAAAATTTATCAGCTTCAAAGCAAAACCAATCAAAAAAATGTAACAATTATTATTTAGCAAAGTTATTTCAATGTATAGAATGTAAAATCTATTTTATCAAAAATTTAATCAAATTAAACAATGTACAAGTTTTAAAAATACAGCTGATTTTCATCCTGCATGAAATTGACTTCAATTTTTTAAACCAATGGTTTATATAACGATTCCTTCAACATTTTTTTATGGAAAATTCATTTGAAAGCATAAAAACTGTTAAGGAAATGCTATATATGAATCAAAAAATAATCAAAGCAAATGGTACAAAACCTGCATATACTTTTCTAATGCAATTTTGATATTTAAAAGTTAAAAGGATTTTCATTCAAAAATAACCCATGTATTGTGTAATAGAGTAATGTTTAAGAAATGCCAACTGCCACACATTTTGAATAAATTTGTGTGTTTATATTGATATTGATGTAAATTTAAAAAAAAATGATCATCTTTTTTAAAATGTCAAAAAAAATGTTTCTCATATATGAAAAAAAGTTGTAAAGTCCTTTCCCAAATGTGAAAATTTATTTAACCCTGGAAAAATATTGTTATTGGATACCTTCATGTGTATGACATTTTTCATACCAACTTAATACAAATCCATATTTTATTATGCGTCATACCTTCATGTGTATGACATTTTTCATACCAACTTAATACAAATCCACATTTTCGGTTGGGGAGGGGGTGGGGTTTCTAAGGTCCCTTTTAGTTGATTTATTTTTATACATTAAATAACTTTCAGTTGGTTTAGTTTGTGCATTAAATAACTTTACAAATTTGAGAGGGGTGTTCCGAAATTCTCTCTATGCATGTAAAACATATTTTATTTTACAAGAGAGAGATATAAATGTTTGATCCCGTTTTCTAAGTGGAGGGTCCAAGGTCAGTTATATCGGTAGTTCGTTTAGTTTATTTAACGTATGACTGTGTTTAAGTGCCCCCCCCCCCCCCCGATCTATGCATGTGAAACATTATAACACACAGAGATATACATCTTTAATTTGAGGAAATTTTTAACTATATATAAAACGGAAATTTATTTTCAAAACATCTTTCTCTGCGAAATGACAAATATTTTTTATCATTATTCTTTTTTCAAAGGTTTTGTTGTAAAATTTTAGAGATTAAAAGCAGAAAATAGTCATTTTAACAAATTAAAAAAATAAACAATGTACTTTATCAACCGCATATATTGAATATTACATAAGATAAAACATATATTGGTCATTTTATTCAATTCAATTTTACCAGAGTGACCCCCTTGGCAAAAGTGTCCTGGATCCGTGTCTTTTTTCCCCTTTTTTGTGAAAATTCATATAAATATCAATACAATTATAAAATTTATTCAAATATGTGTAGCAGTTGGCAGTAAGCAGCTGACAGCTGGCAGTAAGCAGTCAGCAGTTGGCAGTAGGCAGTTGGCGGTCGTATATGGCATTCCATACCCATTAATACATTTTTGATATTTGAATGTTAAAAGGATTTTCATTCAAAAATGACCCATGAATACATTTTTGATATTTGAATGTTAAAAGGATTTTCATTCAAAAATGACCCATGAATGCATTTTATTAAAACTAAATTGATTTTTGTACATTTCAATTGATGTTATCTACATTTTTTTCACATTTTAAACAGGGAGATATTGTATTTTGTCGTGTTGAAAAATTGATATGTTTACTGGAGGAAAAAAGTATTTTTTTTTTTTGACAAAGAGAATTTACCGTCACGACTGCTCAATCGGATGATCACTTGCTCCTTGATCGGAAGTTGAGAGATCAAACCTTTAATCTTTATGTTCAAGCATTAAATGCCAACCGCACAATGGGAAAAAAAGGTTTCGAGCTGTCCTCAGCTCTTTTTATTTATTCAAAAGAGGAATTCAATCTAACAAGGGATGATCTAGACAGTTTTCAAGGTTTAATTGAAATGTAAATATTCAAGTACAACTGAATTGTTTTTATTTTTAAGAGGTTATGGTGACATGTTCAGACTTCTAGACAATTCGTTTAGTTTTGAAATGAATCGGTTGCATCCTAGTAAATATTTGAATGGGCTTCTACAATATATATATATATTTTTCAATTGTCAGTTTTTAGAATAATTAAAAATACATATTTTTTTGAAAAAAATTAGAGTAGCATTATTAAGCAAATATGTTGTTTTTTTATTTTCTCACAGATTTTAAGCAAAGAGAGTGCTTAATTCGTTATTATAGACAGGACCTCGAACATACCAAATGTTCATAATAATGTGAAAAAACTGTTGTCTGCTGCATTAAAAGATCTTGAAACATCAAAGATACCGCTTCAGTGTTGTTCTTAATGTGCTAAGGGTGACAGACTCGATTCCTTATTAAATAACACTGATGGCCTTTGTCAACTGGATCATTCTGGCTAATAAAAATTGGCAGGGAGAATGTGAACCCGTAATAAATAAATCAGTATATTCCCAATATTTTTCACAGTTAGAGAGGCATATTAGGTAAACGTTTATCAGAGTGATTTTGAGTAATCCCCTGTAGAGATACACAGATTTATTTTGAGCAAAATCACATATGAAAGGGACTTTAACAGAATTTTTCGTTGTGAGTGGGTCTTCTCATCACTTTTATGAAAGATAATCCTAAAAAATTTACAATAAAATAATATAAACTCTGTTTTGTTTTTTTTTAAATGTGGAGCAAAGACCCATTATGATTACTTTAAAAGTACACTTTTAGGAAAAAAGATTGGCATCTTTCCTAGAAAAACGTCATGCCCATTAAGTCAAAGGTCATATCACAAACACGATTTATATGCCCACATTCATCATGAGTCGTGTAGCGTAGTGGTTAGCGCGTTTGTCTCAAAGCAATACGATATTTTAGACAAAAATATACGATCCTCTCCCATTCTAGTTAAGGTTAAATTAGAAAAGAAACTTTTTTCCTCAATAAATTATTAACCTATACGATTAAGAAAAGTCGGAAAATGAACATTGTCGCGAATTTTCAATACCCAACCTCAATTTTTTAAAAAAGAAAGATGATGTTCATGTGGATTTTCCATTGCAATGAAATTAACATTGGCTAAACATGACGTCACAGCATAGAGGCGTACATATCAAGATTACGACAATTTATGTTATCAAGTAGCAGCGGTTAGAAGAAAGCATTATAAGGATTCCGAATTGTGGCTTTAGACGATGCTTTTTACAGAAAAGGGGCATATTTAGTTAAGAGATTGTTTCTGACAATTCCACCTTAAAGAGTTGTTTAAAAATTAATTTCCATAAATATTCGTACTTTGTTCAATAGGTGAAGTTTTCATCTTTTATTTTCTCATAGGCAAGTGAATATATACTTACATGTCTCCTGTTTTATCAAATTTGACTTTTGCATCATTTTTGGGGGGCACATGCAGAAAATCAGTGTTGTTAAATACTGACGTAGATAAAGACACAGAGACGTTTTCGCTGTCGACAGATGTCGACCGATGATTTTCCTCGGCTATGTAATGACTTTTTGACATACAAATGAAACCAAAATAATTTCATACATTTATTTTCATTCGGTGTCATTTTTGCTTCTTTAAATCAAAATATTTACATATATAAAACCTATTTATATATTTATGAATAGCCGTAAGGTATACTTGCACTAATCGTACACTGACAATATGTCTCTGAATATACGTTTCAAGCTAACTTTTGATGCGATGAGTTAAGATGACCAGGTTTCTTATCTAATTCTTATTCTCAAATCCCTTACACGTCTACCTGGTATTATTTTGCCTGTAATATGTATCAAGGTACAGTGTAAAATTATAACGGTTACCATCATTTTACTTAATGCTATCACTCAGCTATGTTAAGGACCGATATGGAAAATGTGACATTTGCACCGTTTTAATATGTATTACTTCTTTTAAAAAATTGTAACAAAGCAACGGAATACAATGTGTACTTGAAGAAAATTTAATATAGCTATCAATAATGAATAGGACTGGGTCGTAGTTATTACCAGTTATATCGCATGTATCAGCTGTTTGTCTGGTGACTTGTATAAAATAGAATTATTGAGCTGAGTGTAGGAAATGAGGATAGTGCAAAGGCATACGCTTGTTTTTCAAGAATTTGATACCCATTAAAAGATATTTATTTCCTCTACCCAAAAAGTGCTGGGAGCTAGCCTGTGCTGTTTGCGAAGTACTGAACATTTTGCCGAAAATGCTTATAATAGCTGAAAATTTCCAGTTCGCTTAAATTCTGTTATGAATAAAAATAATGTTATGCAGACCAGGATCAGCTCCCACAACTTTTCAAAATATACACTATATAAGCAATAAACATTCCAAATTTCAGGTCAAACAAAATAGTCTATGCCCTTGCACTTTTGATGTAAATCACAAATATGCTTATCGTTTTGGCGATATTCTCTACATTCCTTCTACCTGTGCAGCTCCAATGCTACTAGATACATTCATATACTTCACAAATTGTATTTAATAAATTATTTTCTTTTAGTCTTAATGATTAGGTTTAAAAATTAGCGATGATATCATATTAATTTGAGCATTTTTGTAATTATTAAAACAGTGAATCTAGTCATCTGGGTTATCTGTGCTGCGTCGTGTCAAGGCCGATGACGTCATATTTGACGAAAGACTTTCTTCTATTACTCGACTGTATTGCTATCAAGTATTGTAATCTTACAAGACTTTATAAATAATTGATAAAATAAATGAATTCAAGTTGTTATTTTCGCATGATCAAGTCGTTAATTAATTTTTGTGGCTTGTTAAATTTCAATGACGTCACAATTAAACTTCCAATACGGTGTACAAGGAATTTGAACTCTGACCTTCCTTAACATAACTGACAAATACTTGAATTGTCAAGGTTTTAAATCAGTCAATGTTTTTCATTAAGAAAAATTATAATCCTAATACAAGGTCTAGAGCATAAGTATCCTCTCCCATGCCTTAAGGTGTTGAACATATTTCGTGATACAAACATTTTGTTTTCTTTTATTTGTTGTCACCTACGACTTGAAACAGATCATTCACAATTAGAATACAGAAACATATAAAAATAATTTTTTTTTCATTTCAAAAAAAAAATCAAAATTGGGAAGAAAATCTTATTTGTATTCTAGCTATAACCGCAAAAATGGTACCCTTTACAATGTACACATAGATTTGAGACATTGAAAACTGCTTAATAATCTTGATAATCTTAACATATGTTTCTTTCCTCGATGTTAATGTACGTAACAATTGCATTGGTAAATCAACAAAAGTTATACTGTCTGATACATTTTAATTGACCTTTCAATTTCTTCTGGAACATACATGTATAATGAAACATATGGAGATAAAGAACAGTATTCACGATTACACAAGCGGCAAGAAAAAATAAAATATATGTATGCATTACATTAAATACAATTGTTCCGGTAAAAATATTGACGCTAAATATTTTTTGATTAATCAAACTCTTCTTCACTTTTCATATACGAATGTTAGATATAAGTAGCTCCAAAAATAAATAAAAATACATACAAGACATGTAATTACCAGTCCATTTTATTATTTTTGCAAATTGTGGCCAATTTATGTTGTTACGTAGTATAAAAAAAAGAAAAAGATGAATTTCAAATGAATTTGAAAGTTTTTTCAATGTTATGACTTTTTCTGCCATTTTATTTCTCTTCAAAACACATAGTGAGTTTTTTTTTTTTTGTGGTTCGAATTCTGCTGTAAGTAAGTAACACTGTAAGTAATGTTAAAAAATAATCACTTCATTTCCGTTAGGATATTACTGCCAGTCGTAAAAAGAAAATAGGGTTATAACATATTCATTGTGTGCTGTTCTTAATTTTTAAGGATGTTCCACTCTCACAATTTCGATAGTACAAATATTCCATTTATTTTCTTCTAATAAAGTATAAATTTACCAGTTATTGCAAAAAAATGTATAGGTTGACATATTATACACAGGTAAGATGAGAGACATAAATAAACAGAGGTATATGTTAAAATAAGAAAATTGTACATTTTTTATAACTGATAATATAAAAATTATGTAAAAACTGGTTCAAGTGCAAAATTCTTATGCTGAATATTAATAAGTACTTTCTACTTAGGTAGACACTGTCTTAAGCAGGATCTTGCATATTTCAAGGCGAAATGATAAAGGGTTATTGGGGAGATAGATAAGTACCGTACAGATTATATAGATAATTTAGAGATCAAACGTGCATATGTGATTAAAGTAGGAATGCCCCTAATAGAACAAGCTTCAACATATAAATAATCAGCTTTTAATCTATGTTCAAAATTCTGCCTTTTTAAAAAAAACTTGAATGCATTGCTCTAACAGCAAAGAGTTTTCATTGATGTTTCCTGATGTTTGTTGTTTTCTAAATTTACCCGCCCTTAATAATTTAGGCTTTTTTCTTAAAATATTGTAATTATATATAATTTGTTTGCATCAGGGAAACTCCAAAACAGGGCAATTCAAGAATGAAAAACTATAGAATGTAAATGACCGGTGTATTAAATATAGTTCCGACAGTAAATATTGTGATGCTTTGTATCATATAGTAAATCTTGTAATGTATGCTATTAGAAATAAAATTCATATAAATAATTCAAAAACAAAAATGATAGCATGACTTTCGTTTTCACTTGGATAAAGACATTGTAAAGGTATGACCATATGGATAAACAAATTTATAATAAAATAAATATATAAATAAATAAATACATAAAAACAAAGTTAATTAGTCAATCGCATAGCAGAGCACGTAAGAAGATATGCATAAATCAAGGCAGCATTTAACATCTATCATAATTTAAATTGCTTCACTTGAGTGCCAATGTTATCATCCATACAATAGCACTTACTTTATTCCTCCCTTATCCGAGAGGATAAAATATTGGATAAAATATTTGCGTATACCTACGGCACGACTCCGAGTATTATCCATAAATGTATTTTTGGAGGAAAACACAGATTACAGGCACAGCAATAAGGTATATACAAACACAGCATATTATCATGAGATCTCTCTTCAGTTCTGATTCTGAAAAAAAAAATTCAGTATTTTAATCACAATAAAAGATAAAAATCATTTTAAAGGAAACTATAATGATTTTACATATATAAAAATTACAAAGGCTCTTTAAGACCAGTAAAGAAAAAGAAAAAAGATGTTTTTGCGTTCAGATGTCAAAATTATTAAAGTTAAATGTAAAAATTGCGTGGTATGGCATTTTTTTTCATTTACGCTCAAAAAGTTTTGTTTTATTGCTCATTTTGAGGCAGCTGGTTGAATTCACTATCCGTGTACACATCATGCCCTACACAACTTTGTAATTAGTCATTTAGTCATTCTTATTCTGTTAAAAAACTAAGGGGCATTATTTTGATGAATAGACTTTACGACGCAAACATTTACGGAGTTAAATGGTAGATAAACTTTCATTTTTCGTTTCATACGTACGGACTCTATTCGGAAGTACATTTTCTCTTAGGGCGAAGTTTATTCGATTATTTGAACTATGGAAAGCAATGAAATATGCAATTGAAATTCAGTCAAGAAATCAACACACGCCCTGTTTGTCAATTTTTTTTCCTTTGTATTGATTTGTATTTATTGCATTGCGAATATTCAGCATATTATCGTTCAGAAAGAAGTTTCAGATTTTACAATTTCTGTTCAGATGTATTTAAATTTTTTTGTATGACGATTTAAAAATATAAAGTGTTTGTCACAATACATAGCAAAATACGTAACATGAATAAATGCATGACTACACTTGTAACTGTTCTACTAATTGCAAGATACTTAATTAAAGGAACAAATCAAACCGGGTAATCTATGTTCTAAATAATATTTTAAAATACA